AAAGTTCAATTACTGATAACAGTAATAGAGTGAGAATACATTATATTACACATTATGGAATACGTATGTTTAAGACATGTACTTTTAAACTTTATCTAAACCGGTTACACTGGCTCCTACACTAGGCAAAGCCTGTCTCGTAAGTAATCAATTCTAGAAAGGACGTAAGGTATGTTCCAATCCATTCCGAGCAAATAGCAAACAAAACTGTTTGGTTGAAATTCTAAAGCAATCACTCAATGAATCGAATAATTAACACTTTCACGTATATTTCGACTTGAAATCTAATCACATTTTCCAACAATTCATTTCAATAGTATCGTAAAATCGTATTAGAAAAATGGTAGTCCAAAAGTGAGGTTATTTTTCATTTATACATCCATGACTTGTCTATGGTTGCTTAGTGTACGAGAAAAAACATTCGGTTCATTTAATTCAAGTTTTTGTAATCGATTAGTAAATCGAATATTTGTATCGCAATCGAATGAGAATCTAAGTGTAAGGACTTGAAGAAGGATTTAAAATTAAGATTTCGGAAATTTTAAATATACAGGCTATGTAAGGAAAACCACCATGAAGACTCAATTTAACAAATTCATTCATTCAATTAATTAATCGATTTGTATTTGGCATTACAAGTGGCCATCACTAAACTGTCTATGGTCGGGTCAGTGCTTTGTTAGTTTACATTTTTTTCAAAATGGATTGAAACGAAGTATACAATATATGTATTGTTTATTATTATATATATACATATATATTATTGTTGTATTGTTGATATGCGAAAATTTAACAGAGACGAGAATATTTCTAAAATCTAATTTATATTACCTAGTAAACAATAGGAAATTAAATAACGTTAATTATAAAGCAATTAAATTACTCGTGCGTGCTTGTGAGTGAGCGAGTGAGCGTGCGCGTGCGCGTGTGCATGCGTGCGTGCTTGCGTGTGTGGGAGTGTGCGTGTGTGTGTGTGTTTGTCTGTCTATTTGTCTACTTTCAGAATTTGTTCAACATCCTCATAGCAGAGTCTCTGTAGAAAAATTTAATTCTTAAATATCGCACAACAATAGGCCTTCCACAATATCTTCCACTGTAGGAAAGAGAGACCTGTCAATGAGTTTGGTCATTACCCGAACGTTTAATTCTTTCTCTGAGTTGCCACCCGGATTCTGTTTGATATAATTACGCATACAAGTTTCAGCAACACTACATATAAAATGGGCCCTGTTCTGCGTAAATGAGTTAACCCACAAAACGACAGTTTCGAGATATTGAGCATTAAAGAGTTTTGGCCACTATTTGTAATTACTCATATAATTAATGAAGTTTACAGGACAATTATATATCAAAAGATGTGTAATGAAGTAAGCATTACGATCAGTTTATTATTTTTTTAAGTTAACAAATATATTATTAGTAATTAAATGAAAATGGTTTATACAAAATTCGATATACCAACAAAATTATTACTTTATGTGTCAAGTGAGGTTAACACTTTTTGCTAAGCACGGAAAAGTACGTATAAAGTGTCACTTAATCCTTGCAAACACTGAGAAATCACATTTTCATAGTGATCATGTATTAAACCAAGTAAAAAAAGGGGGATCGTCGAATCGATTCAGGGAGAGAATTCTGATTGCAGAAATGGTAAGAGTTGGAATAAAAGTTAGAGGTATGAGAGGGCAAGTTTAGTATGAGAATATCAGAGGAGCGAAGGGGACGGCAGAGTGTAGAAGAGTGGAAAGTAAAGCGATCTTTAAGATAAGAAAGCGTAAAGGGATAGAATAGAATCGAGTAGAGAAGTGAAAGGATATGAAGATCTCTACGCCGATGGATGGGCAACCATTTAAGTTGTGCGCGAAATTGGGAGACATGGTCAAATTCACGAAGTCCATATTACTACGGTGAAAACACTATTGCAACATTCTTATTTACTTATCAAATCAAGTATTTGTTAATTTTGCAGCAATAAGATTCACATATTCGTAAGCGTTGACGTCCGATTTACCTACTCTCAATCAGAAACAAAATTGCTACATACCGTTAGAGTAGTGAGTGAGTGTCATTGCCTAGACTGATGTAATTTTATTAGAATGAATATACAATTTCAACATAAATAACGCACTTGAAGCATACATCTACTTTATATGGGCATACATGGGTTAAGGTACAAATAGATTGTTGGTCTGTTTTTTGTTTGTTTTACGTTGTTAGAGTTCGGCCTAATGTCACAATATAATGATTAATGAGACAAATATAGTGAATCCGTGCAAACGTAGCGTGTATGCACGCCGTAGGGACTAGGGACACAGACATTCGCACAATTTCGCGGCGCACTCGCGTTGCATAGCGCCGGCAGTGTTTTTTCTTCCGTGTTAATTATGGAATTGAAGAGGTCGCTGGGTATTTAACCAGTAACATCAAATAGTAGACTTGCTTAGCGGTGAAACCATGAAACGCATTTGTATAACGGCGTTTGTTTTTACATAAACTGTTGTACAAATAGTTTTTCAAAGAAAAAAAATTAAATAACATATTTTCTATAGTAATCAATTTTTTATCAGTTCGATCAGGTGCTCCGATCGTACGCACGCGCACGCTTTCGTATTGTGTATGCGTAGTGAAAATGGCGACGCCATCGGAGCGCCTGATAGAACTGAACTGAACAGCGCCAGTGTTGCCAACAACGCTGGGTCCAATGTCGCCATTTTTCATAACCTTAGTAGCCCAATGTAGCCGAATTTTAGCTGTGGTAGCCTAAAGTAGCCTAAACACCAAATGAAAAACAGCAATAAATAAAATAAAATTTACTTTAAATCAATAATTTATTAAAATGAAACCTAAGTAGAACCAAACAAAAGTAAATAAATTGACAGAATGGGGTAAATAACTGCCTATTGCTCCCTCCAGATGTCACCACTGTAGGGCGTTCGGTTTTGACAGTTATAGCTATAATTTGTTAGCGTTTTTGTAAACAAACAGTCTTTAAGAAATAATTCTCTATTATGATCCTCTGTGCAACAGTTGATTGCAAAAATACGGGAATACATTTATTCCCCAAAGAACCAAAAGGAAGAAAGCCGTGAAAAAAAGATCTTCGAATGAAAAATTTTAAAGCTACTAATTCGTTGAGGTTATGTGCGTCTCAATTTGAACCTGACGACAGGTCAGGCTGAAATTTTGCAAAACAAATAACATGTGTTCCTTTTCATTTCTGGCACTGCTATCATTAATACGTGTAAAGCTATCATTATTCTACTAGTATATGTTATCATTTATTAATTTATTTTTATCTGCTTTAGGCGATGAACCTATACACAAAGTATTGAAGAAAACTGCTAGGCCCTCAATATTTTCTTTTACTAAAGTCAAACCAGTCAACTTATTAGCACAACAAGCAACGTTCAGATAGATTGCTAAAGAGGAGTTGCAAGAAACTTTGTTTTGAAACGTATAATAAAACTTAATCTATTAGATTTCGCGGGAAATTCCGGCTGAAACCATTAACAATTTTTCTTTTTTAATGTCACAGACTTTTTATATTTTCGTGGAGAATTTATCTTTTCTTTAATGTACGCTCATTTTTTTATTTTTAAGATTGTAAACCGAAAGTAGCCTAATAGGCGACCAGTCGCCTTTCAGATTTTTTCGTCGCTGATTTTCGTTCTGAGTAGCCTAAATGGCGATAAATCGCCTACGTTGGCCACACTGAACAGCGCGCCGAAGCCGATTGCATTTGACGGCGCCGGCGGTGCGGGGGGAAATGCGGCGGCGGCGCGGCGCGCGACTCGCCTACACGGTGCTCATATCTAACTGGAGTAGCAGAGCAACGAAATTAACTACGACCACTGGGTACTGTAAATTGATTGTCCAGATATTCTGGGTAGAATTCGCCGTCCAAACAAGTCCCACTTCCTCATCTAGAACCCATAGTGATAATCGCTGAACTACCAAGGTTGTAGAATCTACGCTAACACACTTATAATTTAGTAACAGTAGAGCTCAGAAAGCGTTCGTACAGGGAAGTACTGCCACCTTACCTAATTCTGCCGCTAAGCAGTAATGTTAGCATTACTGCGTTTCGGTTTTTGAAGGGTAAGGTTGCTAGTGAAATTACAGGCACATGGGACTTGTCAACTTATGTCTCAGGGTGACGGGTGCAGTGGCAATGTCCATAAGATCTTTGCGATTTAAAGCTCTGAATGGCACTGCAATCGCTATGCACATGGGTGTCGCTTACCACCAGGCGCACGATTTGTTCGTCCCGTCATTTGGTCTCATAAAAAAAAATGTAAGCAATGCGAACCGCTCTTAAGTAAAAGAGGTCTCTATGAGGATCGAACCCGTAACATTTTTGTGTCAAGCGCCCATAATACTAACAGATGAACTGCAGAGGTCGTTAAATAATATTTATTGATATAATAATAATAATAGACAACATCACATACGTTGCTCTGACCCCAAAGTCAGTAACTAAAGCACTTGTGTTATGGAAATCGGAAACAACGACGATACCACAAACACACAGACCCGAGATCATATAGAAAAGTTAGTAATTTCTACTTTGGCCCGGTTGACGACACTATAACCGGTGTGCAAGCCACTCGACTACATAGGTCGTCAGTAATAAATATAGTAATAAAATAATAGGTAATATTTATAGTTCCCCTGCTCCTATAGCCTATAAAGAACAATAGCCTTACCAGAGAAACATAACACCTGTAAATGCGAAGAGCATAGAACTAGTAGTTTAATCTCACATGCCTCAAAAATAATTGTGAAAATGGTTTTAGGCAGGTTCAGATTAAATATAATGATGTGTGACGTTCCCAATCAGGCAATTGTTTTGCACACGCGTGCAGGTTTCCCCACGTTTTCCCCAGGTTTCCCTAAATTAAATTTCGCACATAAATTCGTTCCTTCAACCCTCTGCTTGAGAGGCGGCAGGTCAAACTATCAGGCTACTATGACTGAATATAATTTAGGTCAAAACTCACCAGTTCTGTCCAGATATTTGTCAGTGTAGTTCCCGTAACGCGCGTGGCTCAGATCATCCAGTAAGGTGTCCAGTTCGGACAGGTTGCCTCGCCCGGTTCCACCGGTGGTCCTGCCATAGCCAGCTGATTGGCCAGTGTTGTAGCCCGGAGAGTATCCTGATTGGTTGCCAGTGTATTTCACAGGGACGATCTTCTCGTTGAGGTTGCTGGTGTTCAGATATGTGGGCTGCAACAAGAAAGCGAAAGGATTGTTTATTTGTCCAAACACACATTTTATACAGGAAATATAAAATACGTGGTTACTTATTTATAGAACAAGTGACAAATTTCTCATAAAAAATCAATACATCAAGCAAACACAGGGATTTTATAAAAAAATTTATTAAACCTTGTCAATGAAACATTTTACTCTATAGATGAATATTTGAATCCTAATAAGTAATTTGATATTTTAATTATTATTGTAATCAAAATATTTTTTTTTTATTATCTGTATATTGACGACGACGTAATGAATATAATTAGTGGTGTCACACATACTAACATTAGCTAAGAACTTTAGAAATTGTATTTAATTCTTCAGTTCCTTCTACTGATTTACTTAATTAGTTCGTAAGCCTTAAGACGCAGCATAAATTTTACCCTCCAATTTCAGGTCACCATAAATTTATATATCACCATGTAATGCAATGTATCTACTGTAACCTATGTTGTTGAATAAATATATTTGAATTTGCACTTATCAAGCGGGTGTTCGACACTAACATGGGGTTACACTGCGTACGACTACAAGTTGTATGAACTGCAGTTTCTAATTGGTTATGTTCTGCGTATTTTTTTTAATTTTTTTTTTTCAAATTCAAATTTATTTATTCAGATAACTAGGATCCATAAGTGTTAGCAACAATGAAACTTATAATTAGGTTAGTACTTAAATTCTAGAACAGATTGTATTGCCGCGGAATTTTTTTTAAATAATTTCTAAATGTATTGAATTCCCTAGTTTCAGAGTAGATAATTAGCAAAATTGTGTGAATCATTTAATTATTTGTTTAAATTGCTGTAATCTCAAGGCTAATACCAATTAAATTAATTATATTATTATCAGTGATGTACCTCTATTTCCAGCAGGTGGGGCATTCTATGTTTATTATATAAACGAACAAATAAGTTGACACGACTTAAAACTGTTTATTTTCGAGTGATATAATATAATGTGCGCTTCAAAGGCTTACAGATCAAAATTTTAGAACGTTTATGTGTTGTTTGGCGTACTGTAAACGAGAATTTACATCTACAATAAACTGTATACATACATTTTAATATGTTTATAGAAATAGTTGAATTAGTGATGTAACATTATTTAAGGATCCATTCATACTATGAAAGAGTCAAGCTAATGTGTAACTCTTGTAAATCGCTATAAAAATTAACAAAACAATTATATACACAATTATCAAACGCATTCACGCAATTGAAAGTCGGAAAATATTGATTGCTAACATTAAAATAACAAGTAGAATACGCTAATACTTTGTACGAATGTTGAAATTCTGAGTTCTTTACGAGAACTATAGCGACACCTATGTGAAAATCACAATAACTTGGACGTTTTCCAAAAAGTATTTTCATACGCTTCAATGCGTACACATCCAAAAACATTTCATCTTAAGAACTAGATGGCGCTGTTGCTACAATTGAAAATTGAGTTTCATTATAATAGACGAAATAAAACATAATACTTCTTTAACTGAGTTATTAACTATAGCATGAAGAATGTTTCGACACAACTTTTCTATGATAATATATCATATCTGATAATAACTAAACGATGAATGAGCACGTTAAAAATTTATGGAATTGCAACGGTATCCGAAATTGCGAGTTACTTTAACAAGTATCCTTGGTCCAGTCATCGGAAAGTTAAACACAGAGAACATTGCGTATATTGGAAAGTCATAAGTATGTTTGGTTACCATTTACGTATATAAAATTTGTATGTACATAACTGCAATATTAATATATCGACTCATCCGTAGAACAAAGATCTATGTGCAAGACTACTTGTTCTCGGGACATAGTACACTTCGTTCCTTCCTTCTTCGCTGTGGATGTCAGATGGACTGTTGTTCGATTTTATATTTCCGAAACGAAATAAGGTATATAAATTCTCAAAATAGCTTTACACAGGCCTTAGTTTGAATAACGAAATTATTCTCGTAACGTCCTTATTCTCTTTTCGCTATATAATAACATCGGACTCTGTTCTTCGGATGAGTCGATATATATTATGCGCAATATGTGCGCAATCATACCAGGCAATAAAAAAAGATCATTGAAAAGATGGTGACGAATAAATAAATAACGCTCGCGAATATTGCTTGCTGTTAGTTTCACATTATTGTGAATGAAAATGCTGATGCGTATGGTATATTGGTATTGGTATTGGTGCAACGGGCTAGTTTCCGCAACTCGACGTATGGTATGGTATTGAGGAGAACGCGAACTATGAAAACAAACACTAACGATTGGTTGTAATGTTCGATCAATTATATTTGACCGAAAGTTGTAATTAAATCAACAAGGCAAAACAACAAGGCGCGTTAGCAATGAGGAGGTAGAACCGATTTGAGACTTGTTTATGATATCAAGTGACGAGATGAAAAAGTCGTGTGCCTGGTGTTAGGCGACACGCACGCCTGTCACTCATAGCTTTAAATCTCAAATATCCGACGGACACTGCGCTCCGCCTGTCACTTGGAGACATAAGTTGACAAGTGCCATGTGCCTGTTATTTCCTTAGCACCCTTACTTTTCAAAACCGAAACGCAGCAATGCACACTTTACTGCTTGAACATTGGTTCTGGTCTGGGTAATTGTTATTGCCCTCGGAGTTAATTTTATCTGGTACTCGTACTACAGGGAGTTCCCGACTTTGAGATCAGGTTGGTTATTATATATGTATAGATATTATGATTTCTTCATCACATACATAACTAATCCATACAAACTCAAAGTAAACTGCCTCCGTGGCCGAACGGTTACCAGGCCGGAGTGCCACGCAGAGGTCCCAGGTTCGATTCCCGGGCCGGGAGAAATAGTTGTATGGCCTACAATTATTTCTCTCGTGAGTTTGGGTGTAATTTGTGGTTGTCTATGTGTGTGTCCATGGCACCCGCGACACAGGGTTTCCCTAGTGCGGGGCTATGTTGAGTGTGTGCGTTATTTATTTATTTATTAAAAAAATGACAGTTTTCTTCGGCACATTATTTCCCTAACAAAATTTTAAGTAAATTGTACGTAAGTGTTATTTATGATAGATTGAAATAATTATGTACATTACTGGAATAATTTGACATGATGTAACACCTTAACAAGTTATGCCCGGTTTACACCATCCTATTATTTAAAAGATCGCGTTTATAGTGTGTGGTAAAGGTTTTTAGTGAATAATTCTACTTGTCTTAGCAATCGCCTTTTAAGGCGTACTAAAGAGCTGCAGTACCCCGCTCTGAATAAATTCTACATGGTCATGTTATAACTGATATTACGTCAGTCAGACGGCTTAACGCATATGGCAAAGCCACCGGTGGCATTTATGTATATTCATCTTTCCTGTTCAGGGTGTTTCTTTACACAAAGACATAGAGTAGTAACAGTAGTTTCAATGGCAGCACTGGTCAAGGTTTGATAAATAATTAACACAAACAGTGAGAGGTCTAAGCGACAACACTGGCAAAAGTTTAAGAGATAATTAGTGGAAAAAGCAGTTTAATCGGCAACACTATTCGGGTTCGATAGATTATTAGTAGAAAAAGTAATTTAATCGGATACATTCAAAATTTTGATAGATAATTTGTAGAAAATCGTAGTTTATTCGGCAACACTGAGTCGGAAAGACAGGATATCAATTCAACCGGGTTGTCTTTAGCTTTGCGCTTCATTAGCTTGCATGTCAAATTAACTGGAATGCAATGCGTACACTGACAAATACTGAAGAAATTCTGAGAACAATTACTAAATATTCTCAGAATTTCCTCTGTATTTGTTTACCATTTAATTTTTTTTTTAAATTTCATTTAATCTACATTCTGTGCATTCAATAACAAAGTATTTCGAAAAGTAATTTTTGGAAAATTCACCAAAATAAATTAAAAAATAAAATACGTGGCTTCTGTCATATGCTATATGACAAATAAGACAAAATGTCATTTATTATAGAAAACTATGTACTCCTACGGCCACGTGTACATCAAAATGTAGATAATATGTGGAGCGATTCAGACCCAGAAAATAATATTATTTCTATGATCATTTAAACGCCCAGTGTACCTTATAAACTAAATTATCTCATTCAAAAGCGCTATAGATTCTATACACGGTCATAAGGTATTTAGAAAAAAAGTATTATTTCGTATAGGAAATTTTTCCTATGTGTAACAATCCCAAAACCTAAGAACTAGATATTATTTCGTACCTAAATTTTTTTTACCTTGCATGTTTCCCAAAAAACTACGAAAATATAAACAAAGATAGTATACGCTAATCTTGAAGATGTCAGTTATGACGCCTTGTGTAAATTACCTATTTTTAAAGTTAGAAGTCACTCTGATTCGTTTTAATATGTCATATGATTAATTATACCTTCTAACTTTAATGGAATCAATTACAGATTTGTCACGTTCAGTGACTCTTTATCGGTTAAGTAATTTCAAAGAAGCAAGATTCATCACACATTTAGATATGGTTTTTATGTAAAATTGGTCTCGTGAATTTCTGTATTTTCAACCTTATTTCGAGCTCATAAGAATCTGTTTATGGTACTAGTGCTGATAACAAAGTAATTGCGTGAGGTGCACTATAAGTTTCCGGTTGAATAAGAAAAAAATACTATAAATGGTCAGAAATAACTTTATTGTTTCTCAAAATATTCTCCATTAGCGTTAATGCACCTTTTCATACGAATGAACCAATTTTGAAAAAAATTATGCTACTCCTCCGTGACAATCTCTGAAACATATATTTCATACTCTTCGACAGCCTCTTCAGGTGATTAAAATCGTTGAACGCGTAACTGGTTCTTAATTTTTGGAAATAAATAAAAGTCACAAGGTGCCAGGTTGGGACTGTACGCAGGATGGCTCATAAGATCAACGTTGTTCACCTTCAAAAATTCATTTGTCACAGTTTTTTCACACCCAAATGTTTGTGTAGTATTGATTGTAT